GATTGGTGTTGTCACCAAATAATAATTAGTACTAAATTCAAGTTAGAATATTATTAACACCATTTTTAAATTTTGCTTTTTAAGTCTGGGGTGATTGAAAAGTTTGTTTTAATTTTTTGAATACACGTTTTATCTTTACTCATATTTTGCATACTAACTGCAAAACGAACATTTAGATTAAACTGTATCATCATTTTGAAATAGGTTTTTCATAGTCCTAGGCTTATTAAGGTAAAATTGTTTAATGGTTCATAATAATATCAGTATAATATGTGAGGAATTTTGCCGTGAACAGGGTTCAGGGCTAAACAGAACCTAAAATCATCAAATCAAACGCTTAAAAAAACATTTAAATAATCAAAATTAAGGAATCTAAAAAATGGTTATTCTCTCCCTAGTTTTTGTTAGTGGTTATCACTTGCATCATATTAAAGTAGAAAATATACATTAAAAAATTTAATACGTGGGGTGCTATAATATTTCATATTTTAAAAACATTAAATTGGGGGTATTTCACTATAATAATGATAGTTAAATCTAAAAAAACAAGAGGTGCTAAAGACCCGTTTGCACCCTCTAGTTGCGCCAATGGTCTCAAACCCTATTCACGACATTGAAAATATATTTTTTTTTTTTACATAAAATATAATTATATAAGTTGATCAGTGCCCTATATGTATATTTGGATGTATGTCATTGTTATTTAAATACCTACATATTGATTAAATTCATGTGATTGGTCAAAAAGACCTAGTCCTACAAAGTATATTACAACTATTGAAGCTATGTATGGTGAATTATTTATATTATAATAATATTTGATTTGAAATGTATTAAATTGAAATTGCAAACATCAAAAAAAGAGTTGTTTATACTTAATATTAAATTAGTTCAGAGTATTGTATTTCCAGATTTGTAATAAACATGCTCAAATTATATTTTATATGAGAAGAGGATATTTGATTTGTTAAAAAAAAAAAAAAATATATCACTAAAAAACTTAAATCCTAATAGGCATTTACATGTTCAAAGTATCCAAAAGGTAAACAGCATAAAATAGATATATTAAATCTATAATAATAATTAACACATTATTTTGTATTAGTTAAATCTACCAAAGCTATACACAGTTATATGTATATTATATGTATAAAAAAAAAATTAAGTTACCTATTAAGTTAATTTATTATTAATATTATGCCATTATGGTCCATTATTAAATATGGTTATTATATCATATATTGTATATTTATGCAGTATGCACCATGCTATAAATTATAATAGTCAGTAACGAGTAACAGACAACTACAGACAATAAATTACTGTACACTACTACAGCAGCGATTTAAAACAGTTAACAGTTGTTGCAACTGTAGTACTGGCAGTCTACTAGAGTAACAAAAACGGGATTTTATTTGTGACATAAATAAACAGCAAGTTACTGTTACTATTTATTTTGTAAATACACATGTTGGTAACACTGTATTTTCTGTATGATAGACAGTTACAATGATAATCCATGGAGAACATTAACTTTTATGGACTAAAATAATTCTGTATTTCCGTATGTTAGTCTATGGTGTGTCGTAGCATAGAATAGAGATTAAATTGTGATCGAAGCTACAAACAGAAGCAGTCCAATAATAATATGATCGTTTGTTATTGTATGTAGGTATTATCGGCTGTCAGGTACAAAGATTATCACCGCTATATCTTGGGTCGAACGATATCGAATTTATTACTTGTAACTTCTGGTCTTTATAATTGATAATAATTATTACGACCACTGACCAGTGCCGCAATCACCTTCGTGGGGTGAACTTCATGACTCCCTGAAAGATGGGCATAATAAAATACATTTAGGGGCTCTAAGTACTTTATGAACTGATTTGAAAAGTGTGATATATTTTGCCCTGGGACATAAAAATCCTGATAGCTGCGGTATCTACTGACGAGGTATAACACATTTACACACTATAACTATCTCCAAAAACCACCTAACTTTGAGGAGCAATATCTCATCAACGGATTAACGAAAAATGAAAATTTGAACGTAATAATTAATGAAAAAAATAGTTTTATTCAATTATGAAATTTTTAGTATAGGTTACCATTTGAAAATCAAAAGTTGATAGTGGTTTACCTATTAAATATAAGGGTGAAAAATATAAAAAAATATACAATTCTAGAACAGCATAAATCTACAATTTTGAAAAAAAAAAAATTTGAAAAAAGTCAATACTTTTTCAAATAATGAGTGTTGTTTGATAAAAGAATCACCCTGTATACCTCACTGTATCCCTCACTTAATTTTAGATTTTACCAAAGACCTTTTTATTTCTAGAGTCGGTTTCAACACATATCTTAGTAATGTGTTTCGTTTCCTAATTTTATTTCCTGATAAGTAAAATTTACCATTATGATCCATTATCTAAAATTATATGTTTCCTTTGTATATTTATATGCTTCGTGGTCTTCTTACTCTATGTTTTTTGGGCCTAACACTCTCCTGTTACACCTAACATATTGTATTAATTTTATTGACCAAAAATGTTGCATAGTATTTTTTTTATGAATTTATTTTGATATGATTTTCTCCGTTTGCAAGTTTTACACCAGAAGAATAATTTTTTGTACTAATATAAAATTGTGTAGGTACCTCATAGCTGTCCTATGTAACTATTTGATTATTTACTAATTGAAAACATTATAGGTACCTTGACAGAGCCCTGAAAAAAAAAAATCATTTATAAGCCAATCTTGTACATTTACTACAAATTAGGTAAACTATTAAAAATATTTAACCATCCGTCTGATTATTTTGTATAAATTATTGAATTAGAGACAATTTCTAAAAAACTCTCATTAATAATTATGTCCTACAAAAATATAAAAAAAAATATAAGTTATTGTTGATAACATTAATTGATTGAAAGAAATATTATGAGTTTACATATTACTATACTTCACCGGAAATAATATATTAAGTTTATACAAATTTAACTTCAGAATATTTAATACTTTTTAATGTATCTCTATAGCATCACATTTTTATTATCTATATGACTTTATTATGATATTAGGTTAAACTGAAAAGTAAGAAATAGTGTATGGTCTGTTTATCTCCAGATTATCTTAAGATTACAACAATTATTTTTCATATTAAAATTAAATATAGTATGATAAAAATCATAACTGTTAAATCTCAACAAAATAATAATTATAACACAAATATTATAATCATTTTAAATCAATAAAGTAATCCTTACCATTTAATTTGTCTAGGTCTGGTTCAGTAGCTGCAGGCATAACCCAAACTGAAAATGCTATAAATGTAAGTTTAATTAAATATTGCTTAATAAAAATCATTTTGATTTAATCTTTTAAAATATTAAAAAATAATGCGAACGCCGAACCACAAATGAAATAGAATACTACTTCTCGACTTCTTTTACAAGCAATATGTTACTAACCCACACTATCTGAGTATAAAATAAATAATGACTGTGCAAAATAAGTTGTTTACTTAGTAGGTAGCAAGTATTATAGTATAACAAGGGAATAATATTCTTCACTATTTGTTAGTGAACCCCATGGCCCATATGTATTATTTTTTATATCACTTGAGTCAATAATTAGTATGCAAAATTAAACATAGCAAAGATACTCTCTAGGCATCTTAAACACAGGTTTTTAATTTTTCCTCTTTGTTTGATCGAATTTATTGAAATTTAAATTCACCATAACATTTTCGAAATAATGCAACTCTGTTAGAGCATTTATATTAGATTTTTATTTTTTGAACTATTGTCGACACATAGGTAGGTCAAAACACTAAAAAATGTAATTTAATATTCCTTATAAGTTGATGTTAATGAAAATTTGAGACTAAAAAAAAGTTGATCGTAAATCCATAATAATTTCTTATGCGCTTCTGAAGTTAAAATTTTGACAAAATTCATCAAAAACAAGAAAATTGGAAAATTATTTCTAGTTAAAAATTTCATAAAAATGTTTCTTTTTTTTATCTAAGCTTTTGATATTGAATAAAAGATTGGCTTAAGTTTTTCTACATTAAATAAAAAAAAGTTTACTGGGAAGTCAAATTAATTTTTTACGAGCTTTTGCAGCTAGGCACTTGATATCAACCAACTTAAATTAACATATTCTCATAAAACGATATTCTTATTTTGTCATTATTCAAAACATATTGAATCATTTTAATCAAATATTTATTTTATTATTTTCAAAATATTTTGCCTCTTTTTGAGTTATTTAGAGACATTTGAAATTTTCAATTATTTAGTTTTTATACTAAATATAAATTTCAATAAAATTTTATTTATTGCTTCAAAAAGCTTGGCAATTTTATACAAGGCTCCATAAAAGTTGTTATAATAGCAGTTGTTAAATATAATAGATCCATAAGCACGATTTTTTTTATAAGTATTTAAAATCATATTTTGTCATAATTTATCAAAATATCGAACATTTTCAAATTTGTTGTAGTTAAAAAATTATAAAATGTTCAATCTTATATTCTGAGTGGAACGATGAATGTATAGATTTTACAATGATGTGTGTTTTTTTAAATTTTTTTTAAATTTTTATATTTTAGTAGTCGAAATAATGGTTCAATTTTCAACTTCAGTATCTTGTTCGATGGGAAAATGAATCTAGTTGGTATTTTCAGAAGGTCAAAATTAAAATTCCCAACAGTTTTCAAAAGCGCCCGGAAAAACAAAATAAAAATTAAGGGAAAACGGGAATTTTTACCCAAAATCGATTTTGGCTTTTGGTGTAACTTTAAAATTAATGACCGCAGATACATGAAATTTTCACTGGTTATTTTTTTCACCGTGCGGAAGAGTAACACGGCCGCCGCAGACCAGTTTCACTCACCGGTTTCAATAGACCAAAAATGATTCTTTTCCGTGTTTCAAATCGCATATTGTTGTCTGCATGTACGCAAGTCGCCATTTATAATATAACTAGCTGAATTACCCGGCTTCGCCCGTGTGTAGTCTGATATTTTTATTAATTATACTTTTACGCTTTTTACGCCCTATTGCAGTCTTGGTTTTTATTATTTTTATTTTTTTGTTTTTTAAAGATAAAATATCAGTACTCTGGGCTACATGTGATTGGCGAGTAGGGAAAGGTTGTAATAATGTACTGACTAATATGTTATTTAAATGGTTACGTAACGTCCAGGTTTTACATATCATATTGTTGCAATCGATAATATAACATTCATCCGATAGATTACGTCCAAATAATAGTGATGTAGCAAATGCAATTGCAAAAACTCCACATGAATACCCATCTGGCTGTTTTATAACAGACTTAAACACAACATTGGATTTTGAAGGATATAAAATATCCAAAATCTCAAATAAATTATCATTAAGCGTATGGTATAGACTATCGTACACTTCTACGCACTTAGTTTCATTACGATAATACACACATAGCCAATGCCCAATAGCATCATTTCCAATAGAACCATCATATAAAATTTGAAAATCATCCACGTTCTCAACGGCTGAATACATAAGTGGTGTTTGATAAAATAATACGTTTTGTGGAATAAATGATGTTTGTAATTTTACGATGTCTAAAAATGCATTAATAACATCGTCGTTTAAATAAGAATTATGTATTGCTAAGGCAGTACAGTGGTTTTTACTCATAATGTAAATGACAATTGTAGTTAAATAATTTTGTAAATGACAATTGTAGTTAAATAATTTAGGGAAACACCACACAAACGCGCAAACTTCACCGATCACAGTCGCAGTACACTGATAAACCATCAATCGGTATACATTATTACAAATTACACTTAAAAAATTATTTTTGCCAATTTCAACCCTTTAAAATCAAAATTTTCAAAATCGGGCGATGTGGTGACACTCACGAAGGTATTTGGAACAACTTTGTGAAAAAAAATTGGAAAAAAGTTAAATAGCGTCGTCACAAAATTGGTACATAAAAAATTCCTGTTCTTTTATATATGTATATAAGGATATACTATATTGTACTGCGCAAATCGTCATACCCTTGCTTATTATAATTATCAATATAGGATAGGTGGCAGCTGGACAGCCGAGCACCGTCAAATCTATGAGTTTTTTTGTTTTATTATCATTATACTTTTGTTAAATACAATTAATTGGTTAGGCCAAAGAAGCGTATATTATTATATTATGTTGTGTCACAAGGGCAGTAAATTATTTTTATACCTTGAATCTTGATGTTGCTGTAATTTTTATATTTTTTGTGTACAATACAGCAACTCATTTTTACCAGAACTTAACTGAGTTAACATTCTTTAAATTCAATTTCTGTCAATAGTTTTGAGCCTACTCACCCGCACATATACACACCAACACACACCATAGTACCACATAGCTCACTAGTATTTGCGCGGCGAACCCAACCAATGCTAGTTGAGCTATAACACCATATTCGGTGCCTGAGTGAAGCGTGAAGTATTTTTGTGACCGGGCGACACGCACTTTTATTGTATGTACCCGGCCGGTACACTAACCATGATCAACATCTCAAAAAAGTAATAATATTTTAATAAATAATAATGTATATAACATTTAATATTTTATAAGATCTTTGAGTAACACAGCCGTAAAATACTAAAATAAAACAGTATTTATACAAGTTTTTAAATTGTATAATATATTGAACACCAGTAATATAGGCTATTATAGTTTAAGTGTTAAACAGTGTCATTGTATTATTATTATTACATTTAAATTTAAACTATTTATTGTAAATCTATATATTAAATATTTAAATTACATGTTATGTATATTTTACACTTTAATTTAAAATTAAATTTTAATTATATTCTGTTAGGTATATAAAGTTTGTTATTAATATTAATATTAATATATTATTTGTTTTAGAAAAATTGACATGCAAAGTTCTTTGTACAATTTTTATTGGAATACTCAAATTGTAATAGTGAATAGTTTAGTTATTTGTTGTATTAAACATAAGTTAAATATAAAATCTTATTTAAATAAATTTAATACAAAATACATTTATTAGGGTTTTACTAATGTTTATTATAAAGCTATTTTCAATATCCAAAAATTAATGAATCCAATTTACATAAGTCATAACTCATGTACAACTAAATGTCCGGACTCCGGAGTCTGAACTAGATATAATATGTTGTTACTTTCAAATTCACATCTCCATCATCCTGGTAATTTAAGATCTTATAATCTATTAAGATCTAGAAGATCTTGAAGGTCATATAATATTTTCTTATAATAAAAATAAAAATGTATGTGTGAGTGTGTGTGTGTGTGTGCGTCTGTGTAAGAAATTAGTACAACTAAAAGTTATGAGGTAAATATTAAGTAAATGAGAGTGAAAATTATTAAAATTTAAAATGGTTAGGTATCTATACTATATTATATAAAGATTAGTTAGTTATTCGTTAGTTACCGTCGTCGAAAGTAATCTCTGGAACCACTGAACCGATTTCGAAAATTCTTTCACCGGTAGAAAGCCACGTTTTTTGTGAGTGTCATAGGCTAATTTAGAAAGGAAATTGATCAACCCCGGTAGGTGCTAAAACAGGAATTTTGAGAAATACGATATACATTTTTGTTTATTAATGATTGCTATGGGTTATATTAGTTGAGAATAATATTTATTTATTATTATTCTTTTTTAATTTGAATTTTATAATGGAGCGTCTCAATCTCATTCGTTTTAATCAGTCGAAGTTACGATCAGACGAGTACATCTACTTGCATAACGTCATCGTTACTGAAGGAGACGCAGCCAACATTGGTCGTTTGACCATTCTCTCAGCCCATTTTTCTTTTTATATATATAAAAATGATTGTTTGTGTGTAGATAAGACCTCTGGGTTATTTTAGGTTAATTTAAAAAAGGTTAAATTTTGTTTTTTTATTCATTAGATTTTAGTACGGTTGGGTTAGGATTTTGTATTAATTGATTATATGAATCCGCAGTAGGTGGAATTAAATAAAAACGATAAACTTTGTATAACTTTGGTCTTTGATACTCTAGAGTTAAATCATACACTTGCCTACATACAAACAGCAGGGGGTCCACAATCTAACGCAGGTAGATTGCCTACCTGATAATATAATGCTGCGAATCAGATTTTTTATTCCGGGCAACGGAAAAGTTAAGATAAGTTTTGAACACCATACAACGAATATTAAATAACGAATTGAACAAAGTTTGAGTCATAAAGAGTTGGTTGGTACATTTCACGGGCAACGAAGTGCACTGGATCAGCCAGTAAATTATATAAAAATTAAAATATAGTAAAAAGAAAACGCAGGGACACAGGCAATGTTCTGAGAATCTTATCCTAATATTTAAATATTTAATATATACGAGTATGTGTAATTCATTATATTCTTATAATGAATTTGGTTAGTTTTTAAATAAAATTAATGATTTTTATCATCACTTCGGAATAATTTAGCTATAAAAGCCTAAAACTATTAGCCCATATACCATAATTTAAAAAGTAGTTTGTTGGACTTCAACATTGATTAAAGTATTAAAATATTTTATGTATTTTGTTCATACTTATCATTGAATCATAAACATTCTACATGCCTACAATAGGCGCTACAGGCTACAGCCTACAACATCAATATTAATATATTATTATACTTATAGGTACAGGTACTGCTATACAATTTATAATATAATAATTAAATTATATGTCTTATACTCGTATACCATTATACATTTATACGATTACTCATTTATTATTAGTTATTATTACTAAGTATTTACCTATTAGTATTTTTATTTTATTTTTTGTGTATCTCTCATCACCTTTTAGGACAGTAAAAATTATTAGATTTTCTTCAATAGTATCTTTTCTGATATTAAAGGGGATCTTAGTGAATACTTTGGGGGGTCAAAAGTAAAAATTTCTCAGTAGTTGTCAAAAGCGCCTTGAAAAACAAAAGAAAAATTAAGGAAGAACGGGAATTTTTACTCAAAATCTTTTTTTGAAAAAATCTATTTTGGTTTTTGGTACCACTCTTAAACAAATTACCTGTTGAACATTAAATGTTGACTGCATTTTTATATTAGAATTTTCTATACACCATAACATTTTCTAAATGTTTTGAGCTGTTTACGGACATTTTAGGTTTCCATTTGTTTTAGTTTTTTTTTTCTATAAATATCAATAGAATTTTTTTTTTGGGTAAAAAAAAAGGGAAAATTTAATGAAATAAGGCTCCTGATATATTGTTGCAATAGCAGTTGAAAAATATTAAAAAATACATATGCACAATTTTTTTTCATAATCATTTAAAGTTCGAATTTTGACAAAATTTGTCAAATTTAAAATTTAAGAATTATTTTGTATTAAAAATTGATAAGATTTCAACTTTTATAGCTAAGGATTGAAAATTTAAAACAAGGTTTCACATAAACTGGGTATAAATATATTACTTTATTCACAATAATATTATCAAATATACTTAGTAATATCATAGTTTTTGTGTTTTGTCATACTTTTTTTTATACACTTTCATATATGTACTTACATAATAGTACTTTACTAGGGTTAGGATTTATATGCTCTAAAAAAACTATTAAATATTCCCTAAAAAATATGCTGATATGTTGTAAAAATTACTTAAATATGCTCCAAAAAAAGTTGGTATATGCATTTATAAAACAAAAATTATGTAAAAACGTTTATTCAAAAAATTAGAGGTTAAAAAAATTTTAAAGTGCTAAATATTTAAATTATAAGTAAAATAATAAAATAGTATTTATATATTACATTTTTGATGGTTTTGATAGTCGATTTTGTTCTTTTTTTGTAACAGAACAAAATCAAAAATATATTTACAACGTTTAAAACATCATTTTTAATTTAACTGACTTACCAACCAAATTAAATTGAATTCAATCTTAAAAATGTCGATGAATAAAAAATTGAAGAAAAAACATTTCATTCATTTTCTGTAACAAAATTGAATAAATTATTTACTTTAGATATAGTTTTATATAAAACCTTTTATATAAAATACGATTTATCTTATCGATTTTATGTTCCACTCACACAGTCACGCCATAATTTGTATAGTGTTACCTAACGGTCCTAACAATGAGCGATAGATTATTTAGACATAAAGACAAGTTACGATAAACACAAACAATTAATATCTTGCCATATCTGGCAATGCATATCTGAAAACAGATAAGATGAAAATTGTTCTTGTCCGCTATATCACGCGCGTTTAACATTGGGTGAACATTTACGGCGATTGAAAACCAAAATTTTTACAAATAAACTCAAAAATATGCATTAAAAATCCAAAATGCTAAAATAATCATGACTTTTAAAAAATCTTCAAAATATGCAAAAATATGCAAAATAAAAATAGCACATTTTTAATTCCCAGTATATGAAACAGATTTTTATCTTACTAAGCTATCTTTTGGACTCACTAAAAAAATATGCAAAATGCTACAACATCCTAACCCTAGTACTTACATATAGTACACTTTAGAAGTTTCAAGTACCCACGAATAATATTATTCAATCACAACAAAACAACTAAAATAGTTAATCTAGGTTTTTTTTATGTAATTTCGTCCAAATTTGAATTTAAAATGTCTGTAAAAAATAACTGTGATCATATAT